TTATAAAAACTTGGTGGGAAAAAGTGTGGAGAGATTAATGGTTTGCAAATAGTCCCAAATATAAGGAAAGAAGGATTTGGGACAGGAGAAATAGAAGAACAAATAAGAGTCTGAAGAGCTCTTCTCATCTTCTAGTATAAAGATATTCATCATCAGTATCATTTAAAGAGAAATCATGCAAATGGGAGTGAAACATTGTGCTTGCAATAGACAATCCCACAAAAAACAACTTGTCAGAATTGGCACCTATTTGGGGATGATGGGAGGGCTTCCTCAAACTGGAATGTTGTCTAGGTTTCAGGAATATAGATCAACTTAGAGGGGTTACTCCTGTCCTCTGAATGATCTAAATGTCATGACTATAAGGAAAAGAATGCTCCCTTTGACAGGGGTTATAGCAAGATGAACCAGTCCATTAAGTCAGAGTTTGAATTACAAAGAGCTGTCATAAATTTGAAGTACAGTGGGTGGGGTGGGGAAGAAGAAGATAGTTAGATGCTACAAAGAGGTGGAAGAAATTTGAGCCTCAGGGCTAGGTTGCTGGTGTCAGGTAGCTGAGGTGAAAAAGGCAACATTGCGGACTCTTGTGGGTGGCCCAGGGTCTAAGCCCCACTTACAGAAAGACTATACTACCCAGCCCTGACTGCCTAGAGAAGTCTCTGTGCCCTCCACAATACAGAGTTGGGGACCATCTTAAGAGATGTGGGAGTAACCCTGAACAGCCCAAAAAGACAGTAGGGTAGGAATTTCCCAGTGGGGCACAGAAGGCAGGGAATTCATATTTTATATCTCCATATTTTAGATTTTTTTCTACCTCTGATTACAAAATTTCTACCACTAAAATATGCTATTGGAATATATCTTCATATGTTAGTGGAGGTATTACAATAGATGGTATACTTCCCTAATGTTGATATGAATTCATGCATTTGTGAACCATGTCAGATTGTTCACTGTAACTATATCCTCTTCATAAATGCTGTTCACATGAGTTATAGGAGGAAAGAATGTTAAAAAAAAAAACAACACCAAGAACATGTGGGTGAAAAGTTAATTCATTGAAATAAAATTAACAATAAAATGGGAAAACTTAATACAAAGGACTATTGTTCTCTAAAGAGGGATCTACCATATAAAATGAAATAGATACTAACTCTACTCTTTATCTGAATTAACTCGAGCAAAAGTTGCCAACAAAGCTTAGACAAAATAAAACACATTTGGTTCTAAATGCACCTTTGTGGTCTCTGCTGAACCCCTCTTGCTTAGCTGGACTCCAATTCTGGCTCCTTCTGATCAAATTTATCCTACTACAACTCATGCGCTAATAGTGAAGTATCCTTCAATTGAAGTATCATGGGCGAGTTCCCTAAATTTTACTGGAAATCCCTTACACACACTTAACCAGACCATGCTTTGGTATAAATATGCCACCATCTGTTACCTATTCCCTTGGACTTTAGATCGAACTTCTTGGCTTTGAAATTGGTCATTTTTGTTTGTTTTAATAGGATCCCAAATAATCTGACTTCATTAATACTTCTTTTCAACATCTACCCATGTAATTTTCCACATAAACAAATTCTACCGGTACTTATATTTAAGCTTATATATGAATTGTCCATGGCTGGATCCATTCTCTCTTAAAGACCTTTTCTGGTCCAGATGAACTCTTCTACCCACACATTTGTGGAGGAAAATGAAGTCCAGTTGGTTAAGTGACACTTGTCTCAAGAAATCATTTCATTTTTTTTTCACATAATCACGCCTGAGCATCTAAAAATGAAACCCTGCAGGGATCAGAATAAGGACCAAATACTTCCACAGAGAACATGTACCAGTTACTCAGGTTTGTCAAGTTCTACCAGTATTTATTGAGAGTTTTTTTTTTCCTGAATTGTGGAACATATTGTGGTTCTATGGATGACCCTCATTTTTAATAAATTCTAATGAACTAAACTTTCTTTGTTCAATTCTATGATGAATTTATTTATCCAAAAGCCATTCACTAAGCACCTACAAGATGCAAGGCACTGTGCTAGGCACCGTAGGGAATAAAAAGATGAATATGACAGAGTTCATACCTTCAAGGAATTTATAATTTAGTAAGCACTACTCCTCTTTTCACCCTGACTCCACATTACAATTTCCTCTCCCCAACTTTCAGTGTCAGAACAACCAAATGGAACCATCAAGGTAAAACCGTCTTAACAAGAAGTGAACCTGAATTCATTTGTTTTACCCATGAACATTCCTTATCTAGTAGTTGGCCACCAAACAATAGAGTTATCTTTCTGGGACAAGTATCCCATCTAAACTTTGTTTTCAAGCATAGAAACACCTTTGTAAGCTATAGAGCATATGGTCCAAGTTATCATGGGCCATCAATAGGAAAAACCATGGTAAGAAATGTTCTCTTCCCTCTTCCTTCCTGTCCCATGTATTCTTGATCATATTTCTTTATAGAATTTAATTTCCCAGTGGTGTATTGATTATCTGGTTGCTCAAGAATGATAAGGGTGGTTTTGACAGTGGTGGTGGCTGGGGATGGAAAGTCACCTTGTAGATGACACATTACCCCATGTGCTTCCTGATACCTGATAATTTTCTAGGTGTCACCTAGGATGCCCATCTTTACATACAAACATGCCAAGTTCTACTATAGGACCTAATTATTCCTCAGAGCCTGAGAGAACTCTGGCTGGGAGGTTTAACTCCACTTGAAGTTACAATTCCACCTAGAACGTATGTGTTCCTGTGACATTGTAACTCCAAGCTGTACAGCTTTATTACTATGGCTCCAAAGTGGATTGCTGTAGTGAACACAAGATCTTTCTTAGGGACATGACATTACTTCCTGTCCTTGTAAATGCATTAGCATTTTTACCAAACTAAAGAATCATGGGGGGGGCAGCTAGGTGGCGCAGTGGATAGAGCACCAGCCCTGAGGTGGTGGAACTCAGGTGGACCTGAGTTCAAATCTGGATTCAGACCAAACACTTTCCATGTACTAGCTGTGTGACCTTGGGCAAGTCACTTAACCCCGACTGCCTCGCTTAAAAAAAAAAAAGAATCATAGAAGAGTTTGGAAGAGAATTGGGATTCAAATCTCAACATTATCACTTACTGGCTGTGTGACCTCAGGCAGGTCACCCATCTCTCTCTGCCTCATTCTCTTATAAAATAAAGGAACTGAGCCATATCATCTCTAAGGACCCCCTGCCATGGACATTCTGTGTGATTCCTTTTGATTTCTGCAATCCTCCATCACACTAATTCTGGTAATGGCTGACATGTTTATTGATCTGACCCACTTTTCATCCTTCATAGCACCAATCTCCTGGATTATGATATTATTGTCAGATCACATTTGAAATTTATACAACTTTCCCCTGTATTTCCTTTTTATCAGAGACCCTTAATTTGCTGTCTGTTTTTGGAAGATTATAAAACCATCATTTCACAGGTCTTGAATTGTAAGGGAATTCAAAGGTCTTTTATTTCAACTTCATCATTTTAAAGATGAAGAAACAGAGAGTCAAGGAGGTTAAGTTACTTGCCCACGGCCTGATCAGCACAACTCTGATAACCCATCCCCTAGATCAGTGGTTCTCAATCTTTTTGGTCTCAGAACCCCATTACACTCTTAAAAATTATTGAAGACCTCCCCGCCATGAACTTTTGTTTTTGTGAGTTATATCTATCAATATTTGCCATATTAGAAATGAAAACATCTTAGTATTATTGTAAAAATAGTCATGACCTTTCGGACTACCTGGAAACATATCAGGGACTCCTATGTATCCTCAGACCATATTTTGATTACCAGTGGCAGAGATGAAGGGATAGATAGAGAAGGCAAATTAAATGTTCGATCAGGTATTCCCTGGAGTAACTCAGGTGTTTCCTAGGAGTGCCCACAAGGTGTTGAATCTCCTCTAGTATCTCTTGCAGAATTTTCATAAAATAAATACTTTCCTTATCTTGACCTTGCTCCATCCCTTTTGTACCAGTTGTGGTCTCCATCACCCCTTGCATAAATCCTATCTTGAACCTTTGTTGGTTGTTAACATCACCAAATGGGGTAATCTCATGTATTTGATTTATATCAGCCTGACCTGGAAACTCAGGAAGTTCAAGCAGGCTTACAAAAACCAGGTAGACATTTGGCACTTCATGGGAATCTCACTTTCTGTTATTCCTTCTGATTTCATTCTTCCCTGATTGATTTTACCTTCATACAATTTTATCACATATTGGTATGGTACATATCCTTTTTCATAATTTCCCTGTTGCCTTCAAGTTTGCATTCTTGAATTCCCCTCCTCCACCCCCCAAATCATTCTAAGATCATTTCTCTCTTCATTCTCAATCATAGCAACCTGGTCACTAGGAAGATCTTTCTTTCCCCTCCTTTTCTCCTAAAATAGGGTCAGCAGAAGTGTCAGAAATATCTTTAAATCCAAATGAATATAATAGAGCCTCTACCACCAACAAACTGGAGAGTTGTAATCAAAAAGACTGATCTTGAGAACTCACAAAATATGAATACTATTCATGCAAAAATCTAGGCCTTCCACTGTACTTATCCTAAAAACACAACTCCAAAGCAGGCTAAGCATACCCTTTGGTAGAAGAAAATTTTTTATGAGTATTGCCAGAATTTTAGATGCAATAAGTGGTAGGATTCAGCTATGGTCCTCTGACCTCTTTCTGGCTATAACTTGGGACCAGGGTTGCCATAAGCCTATTTGCCAGTACTTATATATAGACTCTCTGACCTCCATAACTCTTGACTCCACTTAACTTTCTAGATCCTTCATATTTTCCAGATGCTCCCTAACTTAGATAACCTCCTTGGGCTTAGATCCTGACAGGCCTGAATCTGTTCGACTTAACTTGTTCATTCTATTACTCACAGTTCTGCTCTGAAAACCTCTGACCTTTAATGAATGCCATACCTCTACAAAGATGCATATATCAAATTCACAGAAATAAACTGTCATCACTTTCTACTTTAATAGATTTCTGTAACTTTGGGATAGAGCACTGATTTCTGGTCTTAAAACAATTTCCTTAATCTAAAACTGTCTGTTGAGAAAGATTAGGAACTCTAGACAAACAAGATGTCTGATAACATAAACTTCCTAAATGCTGTGTGTTTGTTTTTCTCCAAAACAAAACAAAGTAACATATTGTTCAACTCATAGGAACTTAAAATCATACATGAAAAAGATGAGAAATGAGATTTGTCTCCTTATTTACTTTGAACGGTAACAGTGGACATTTAAAAAATGAGTTTGGAGGGTTTTACAAGAAGCAAAAAAGTCATCAAAGTAAAAGAAAAATCATTGGCAAGGCATACAAGTTCTACTACTGACATTTATAGAAGGTGATGAATTGGTATGAAGCCCCTCAATCTCTAATCCTTAGCAAAGAGCTTCCTTTGGAAGAAATCCAATAGCTACAAACATTCATGCAGAAGGAAAAGGGGTTCCTAAATATTATTGGCCTATTGATGCACCTGAAGCATGGAACCTCTGATTTGATCTGCACCCTGTGATTGATCATGGGACAACATCTGGGCAAAGATGCTTAGAGATGGTTCAAGTATTTGTCAGTGTTCCATCAAGGTCCTGAGTCCAGACTTTTTTTTAAACGTAATTTTGAATTATTGTACTAAATGTGATGCTGATTGGACATTTTCCAGGGGTGGAAGAGGCAAGTTAGAGTGAGCAGATGCAGCTGTTTTAGAATTGGCTTAGTTCAATCTTGGATAAAACTGCTGACTTTTTTAGGCTTGTTTATTAATTCAAACTCTGAGCAAAACTTTCATTGTTCTTGCTATAACTCCAGAATATGTTTCTAAGATCCTGTATTGTATCCCTCATCAAAATTTTAGATCCAACTCAGTCCGAACAAAAATGAATATGAAGATGTGACACAGCTCCCATATGCCATTGCAAATAAGATTTAAATAAATACATGTATCTATATAAATTTTTATGCCTATATATAGGAGAGTGAGTGTATATGTGTTTACATAGAGTTAGGATATATACACACATACATTATCATTTACACACATCTCTTAAGTATATCATTTACCTTTTTAAAATTCCAAAAAAATTTCCTTATTTTCAGAAAATCTGCATTATTCTTGTCCTAACACAATTGTTAGCCCTTATCGCTTCCATTCCAAGTTTTCTTCTATGGAGCTTCCCGGCTTTCTTTGGTTGTGTTAGATTGGATCCGTGGCTGATGCCACAACCTATGACCTTAAACCCCATTGGCAAGTATTCATGCTTTCTGAATTCACTTGCAAATGGCACTCATCTAGGCTTCTTTCACAGCTGGCACAGAAGGAAGGTAATGGAGCGTTGGATTGGTATGGGTGCCTGCTGTCTGCAGGGCTCCAATCCCAGCTTTGACTGTAAAGCTAGCCACAGATGAGACAGAAGGGCAGCTAGTACCCAGTTTTGTCTGAATGTTTGATTTCCCATATGGATACATTTTCCGTTCTAAGTTTAAGGACTTGGTTTGGGAATTACTTCCATTTGCTTTTCCTTCCAGAAAATAGGTCAACATTTCACCTTTTCCCTTGACACTGACTTTCCCTCGACATGTAAATTCATAGCTACACCGCTTTAATAACCGGTGGACTTCCTCCGTGACCTGTTGGCAAAAAGAATTAAGTGTTATTCAACAAGCATTTACTTACTATATATTATGAACTATGCTAGGCCCAGGGGAAGAAAAAATTGTTGGCACTTACAAAGCTTGGATTCTACTTGGGGGAGTGGACAGCATCTTCACAGGTAAGTGAATGCATAATACATACAAAATGAAACAATTTGGGAAGGTGGTTTCTTTGGTTATCAGTGATAAGATATCCACTTTATCTTATTCATCTTCACATTTTATTAGCTTTTGTTTTTATATTACCTTCATTTCCAAATATACATTGCTTTCCCCTCCCCTCCCCAGAGAGCCTTGTGTTGTAAACAAAGTAAAAAGGAGAAAGAGAGAGAGAGAGGGAGGGAGGGGGTGAGGAGAGAGAGAGAGAGATTAAGATTTCGGCAAGACTAACCAAAACATTAACCAAAGAATATGACAATATATGCACCCATAGCTACCCATCTCCACAAAGAATGGAAGAAGGCATATTTTCTTATCTCTTCTTTGGAGCCAAGCTTGGTCATTATACTATCTCCACTTTCAGTTTCTTGTTCTTGGTGTTCTTTCCATTTCTATTATTGTAGTAATTATGTATTACATCCCTGACTCTGTTTACTATACTTATATCAGTCTTGCCACAGTTCTATGAATTCTTCATATTCATTATTTCTTAAGGTGCAGTTATACTCCATTACATTCATATACCAACTTTCATTTAGCCATTCCTTAATTGACGGGTATCTGCTTTACTTCCAGTTCTTTGTTACTAAAAAAAAATACAAATACAAAAGGTTGGGTAGGGATATTTTGGTGTGTATAAGATCCTCCTTTTTGTCTTTGACCTGCATGGGGTATATGCCTAGAAGTGGGATCTCTGGGTCAAAGGGCATAGACATTTTAGTCATTTTCTCAGGATAATTCCAAATTGCTTTCCAAAATGATTGGATCAATTGACGGCTCCAACAATAGTATATTAATATGCCTTCAAGGCTCCAACAATAGTATATTAATATGCCTTCAAGGGGACAGTTTTTACCAGTTTTTGTAGCTGCTTGTTCTTTGAGTTAAAATTACTCAAACTATTTAGTTTAATTCAATTTGACTGACATTTGTGGAAGGTTCTGCAATCACTTGGCTTTGGGGACACAATGATGAAAAATAAAAAATGCCTGAAGGCATTCACAATCTAATGGGGGATATATGTATACAAACAAATATGAAACAAGGCACAATACGATAAGGGAAAAAGAGAGAGTCAGACAAAATCATATAAGAAAATTCAAGTAATAAAAGTAATAAAAGAACATGTTCATCTGGGACAGGGATTCTAGTTCATCATCTTATTTTACAGATGAAAAAACTGCATAGTAAGTAGGGAGGCAAAGTCACATCTCATTATTATTCAGGAATACTTATTGGTCTCTAACTAAGGCTAATTCTATGAATAACTAATGTTCTGAGAATACTTGTTTTAGAAAACAAACAACAATGAATGTTTCTTCTGACTTGGTCAGTGTCCAGTTGAATGGCCTGTCTTCAAAAACGTGACTGAGAATGTTGGGAAGATACTTCTAGCTGTGAAAGGCTAGAATCAGGATTATACCTGGCAAGCTGGATAAGGCCCAGGATGATCTCTAGGTTTTTGTTTTTGTTTTTGTTTTTTTGTTTTTTTGTTTTTTGTTTCATTGTTTACCAACTCTCTCTACCAAAACTTTTATACAAATAAAATTAGGACAATATGAACATTAAGCTCAACATTGAATGTAGAAATTCTTAACTTTTTTTTTTTGGTTTCATGGACCACTGTGGCAGTCTGGTGAAGTCTATGGACCCCTTCATAGAATAACATTTTAAAAGAAAAAAAATGCATAGTTTCAAGGGAAACCAATTATATTGAGATACATTTATCAGAATATGTATTTTTAAAAGTATATGTACCACAGGTTAAGATTTCCTGTTTAAAAGGGTTGAGAAATCACTCAAGGTTACCATAGAGAAGGTGGTGGTACAGAGTATTTAACTGGAGGAAGGATTAGTCTTTTGCTTAAGTGATGAATTTGAAGAGGTTTTATTTTCATGAGATCCTGACTTTTTTTTAAAAGACCAATTGAATGAGTTTCCTCTTTCTTCTCTACCAAATGCGTCTCTAAGTCACTGTCTTACTAACTAATGGTAGCAAAGCACCCTCCATCAAAGTACAGAGATCAGAGCAACTGCTCCAATTTACTACATGCCCGAGGGATAAATCTGTCTCAAGTGATGTTTGCTGAAAGGGAAACATAGGATTTTAAGTGTTTTAATAGAATGGTAGGAATCAAGCGAGGGCCTAGCTAAGTTTGGAGACACCAATCATCACTAGGATGGTTGCAACGTGATGACATTTTTTAGTCAGAGTCACTCTCTGAGATCACCATGCAAGTTGTAGAGGGACTGCCATCTGCTGGTTGAGGGAATACCAGCACTTATAAACATCACAAGTTCTTGAACTATGGAAGGATCATGTTTCAGCTGCCTTTACAATGCAAAGATGTTTTGAGAAGTCATGAATGTGCTGTTCCATGGGGAAAACAAGAACATCAAGGCTAAGGCTATCTCATTTTCATATCAATTATTATTGGGAGGAGTAAAGAATCATTTTAGTAGGGCCAGATATAGCATGTGATACTTAGGAATGGAGTTTTGTGAAGCACCAAGGTGGGGGGGACGGGACTCCAAAATATTACTATTTAGTCAAAAGTTGTACTTCTCTTATCATGGCCATATGTGTGTTGCTTAGAAGAAATCACTGTATATAGATAATTAAGCCTGTGAGGTCAAGGCATAGCTGAGGTTAATGAGCAACTCATTCCACCATATTTAAATTAAAACTAGTAGGCAGCAACTGAGGCTTGTCAGAAATGCATTCCAAATAATTCCAGTCAAGCCTTAAATAGAAGAATATCATCAGAACAGAAGCAAATCTGGGTCCTATTGAAGATCACTGATTGAACTAAACAAGTTATATTGGGCGGAGAAAGCAGTAAATTAACCATGTTTTTGTCAGCTTAAATTTAGAAGGCAAGCTGAAGGAATGATGACTCAAATACTTTCCCCAAATGAGGAAGAACATTTCAAATAGAAATAAATCATCAGCAAGGACCTTTGTGATATGATGATTTTAAGAACGAGTTGGGCCTCTCATTAGGTTCAAGGGAGATCAGCAAGGTAGATCTGCTCTATAGAAGTTGTCTCAGTAAACAGCTGTTTTATTCTGAAGGAGCATCAGAAAAAGAAAACTTATAAAGGACACTATAATACTTCAAAGGATCTGTGATTTCAATACAAAACTCTCTTTATCAAGACAAATCTCAGTCTTTCTATGTCTTACTAGAAGGTCTTTGTGGAAAAAAAATGTTACCCCATGACCAGCCTTCTGGTGATGAGCTTTTCTTACATTCAGTGATTCTGGTCCTGAAATAACAGGCGTCATATGTCACATATCAGAGTCTGAAATCTTTTGATCATAGTCTTTGAAAAATCAGAAAACCTCCATGGCATGATGAGAAAGCAGAAGATGGAGACTAGAAATTACATCAACTAGATAGCAGTGGTATAATAGAAGCCAGAGGCAGTGACCATAGTGATAGTGGTGTGGAAGAAGATGTCTCACAGCACATCTTCTCCAAAGAACTTGAAAGAACAGTGACTTTTCTAAATTCAGAAGTCCACATGCTTCTCGTCCAGCTAAGTGAAAATGAAGGGCAGGAAGTCTCAGAGTTCTTCATAAAAATACTTTAAGTTTCATTGTAAGTTTCAATTGTTTGAAAAAACAAGGAAACCATGGGCATGTTATGAGTTTCTTACTCCAGGAAAAGCTCCATAAAAGTGAGCTGGCCTGTTTGGTGAATCTTTATCCTAAGGCAGGAGAAAAGTCTATGCTCTGATCCTAGGACTGGTGGGTCATTTTGAAGCTGAGGAACTACAATATATTTGTGATGATATCCAGACTAATAGAAGCTTCCAGTGTTAGTATCCTGGAGCTAACTCTTCAAAGAAAAGGAAAAAGAAAGTTCCCCCAAACTACTCTGTAGCTCAGAAAAACTCAGCCCCACTCAGAGAAAGAATAGGAGAAAGAAAACTGAATCATGGCAGTCAGTCTAGCCACCTATGGATAAGGCATTCTCTACTGGTCTTAGACCAACAAGTAATTCAAATGTATAATGGTTAGAATTCTGATTCCGGAAATATTTGAACTGTAGCAAAGGTTAACAATGCCATTGAATCTTGAATAGGTTTTGGGGTGACTTCTTTCAATGAAGGTTTTCCAAGGTGATGAATGGACCAGCAACTAGATACTTGCATAATCCTCCCTATGCCATGTCTTAGAGTGAAATGATTAAGGAGGAAAGGATGAGGTGGGGCAAATAAGTAAGTAAATAATAAGACATGGTAATAACTACCTCATATCACTATATTTGGCACTGTTCATATTTCTTCATAGTTCTGTTTTGAATTTCAGACTATTGTGAAATATTTTGAAGCCAGATAAGAACATGTAAAAATAGCATGAATAAAAAGAAAGTTGAGTTTTATCTGAATAACAGGAGGAAAATAAAAGTGCATTAGAAAAACCTCTTAACTGTGCAAATATCTATTAAGTTTAAATAATGTCTTGTTTTTATTTCAGCAGAGTATTCTTTCATAACTCATTTATGCATCGCATTGCTTGTTCTTAAAGAATGATCACTTAAGAAGATGTGAGAAAGTCTGCATTTCTTCAAAATTTTGCTGAAGAAACCAAAGGGTTGTACTGCTTAGCTAAAATTTACTATGGAGCGCCATCTAACAGTGAACCAAGGTAACTGCAGCTTTATAGTTATTCAACCACATTGCACCCTTGCATATAATTGTGTCTCTTTGACCACAAGTCATCCATGATGATGACTTCAAAGTGATAGCCAATGGGTTATACTTGAAAAAAAATGAGGGAGACAAGAAGAAAGGAAACTAGAGGGTGGGGTGGGGAAGGCATGCAGAAGGAACATGAGAATGGCTCATAACAGTGAGTTGACATTTGATTTAGAGGACCTGGGTCTGAATCCCAGCTCTCTGATTCACTACATGTGTGACTTTAGAGCAACTCATTTGACTTTTCTGGGCTTTAGTCTATACAGTGAGCATTGAACTAGATGATAGCAAAGGTCCCTTATAGCTCAGAAGTCTGATTCTAGAAGTAAAGATGGAGTAAATATGACATGCAGGATCAGGAAATAGTTTACTAGAATAGTCTAAGAAAAAAAAAGAGAGAATGGCATATTCAAGTGGCTTTAATGGAGATAGCAAGGTAGGGTTCACAAGCTGGAAAAAGGAGTTGGGAAGAAGGATCTCCAAAAGGTAAAGGAAGGAAAACCAGATGGATTGATAGAGGGGGGGATAAGTGGCATCAATTTCACCTAGAAGTCAATACAGACAGACTTCAGATGCCAAACGGGAGGTAACTTTACACAGAAAACAGAAAAGGGAAGAGAGAAGAGAGGAAAATAGTAACTTGACTGGAAGGTGAAAGAAAGGTTGATCAATTAGAAGAACCATAACTAACAAAGTAAGCTGGGGGGGGTGGTCTAGGACTCATGGACTAAGGTAGAAATAGAGAGAGCTCTGCTTGTGATTAGAAGGAACTGTTTGGCATTCTGAAATACCTCCCAATCTGTGCTGCACTCTTGAGATCTCATAGTTTAAATCTGGGATAAAGAGAGAGATATATATGAATTTGTGAGAAAGCTCCTTATCTATATATTGTTTGTGTTATATACAACATTCCCCCACCCCCACACACAATATCCTCACATTATACACCCCCACACCATTTCTTCACATTATACTACATCCTCCTCCTACCCCCACACACCATTTCCTCACAGTCATGTTTAGCTTTTGAACTAGGATCATAAGAAGGGGATAAAGAGAGAATTGTAATGTTTAGCAGTCACTGATCAGGGAACATGAAAGTATAACTATTTGTTTATTGCAAGTAGGGAAAAGTTTTTCAAAGTTCCACATATTTTCCATTGAGAACAAATAGTAGCATTTATCCTAAGACCTAAGGGCCAATGGGGTAAAAGTTATGTATCAGTTACTCCCAAAAGCAAGATCTGAGTCACTGTTATCTGCTGGCTGATCTCAGAATGAGAAACCATGAAGTCAACTGGAAGTGGGAGGAGGCCCAGTCACAATCATTCCTTTTCCTGTGCCAAAGTGATTTGCCCATCAAAATGAATCACTCAGACAAGGGAATCCTACTAAAATGCTGACTAGTGGATATGCCAGTATCCAAGAGGCCAAACATTCGGTCATGACCTAAAGGAAAAAGAAAACCAACCTATTTTATAGTTGAAGAAACTGAGGCAAAGGTTAAGTGACTTGCCCAGGGTCAGCTAGCTAGTGTCTGAGGCTGGATTTGAACTCAGGTCTTCTTGACTCCAAGCCCAGACTCCAGGGCTCTATTAACTATGTCATTTACTTGCCTCAACTATGCCCCTACTTCAAGTGGGAACCACTTTAGCATGTCATAATAAAATCTATTTCAATATTTCAAGGATAAGTGATGTCATGAGTAGGAGAATACTCCCTCGACCAATGCAAATTGCAATACAATATTGCTTTTGGGGGTTCCTGGGGCAAGAAATGCAATACTGCCAACCAGTTGAGGAATCTCTTAACACTTTCTCAGGTTGGTCTTCAGATGACATTCCATTTCTGGTCCAACACTTGAAGTTTTTCTACTCTGGCAAGATTTGTCAGAACTTGTGCTTTGTCAAAACAACCATCAGAATCAACTATGAAAGGCTTAGTAACTCTAATCAACACAATGATCCACTACAATTCCAAAGGGCTCATGATGTAAAATGTTATCCACCTCCAGAGAGAAAACTGATGGACTCAGAGTACAGATTGAAGCATATTTTTTCTTTTAAAGTTTTCTTCTTGCTTTTAATTTTTCAAAACATGACTAATGTAGAAATGTTTTGCATGACTTCATATGTATAATGGGTATCACATTTCTTGCCTTCCCAATAGGTGGGGGAAGGGCTGGAGGAAGAGAGAGAATTTGGAACTAAAAAATCAAAATTAAATTAAAAACTCAAAATAAAAAAAAACCAACCATCAAGAGTATGAGGTCATTTCAACAACATCGAAAGTAGGCATTGGGGTAGGAATTTACTATGCTTATTTATTGGTTTATTAAGAATCATAATAATAATAGTGGCTACATGGCAGAAAAGAAGAAGGAGAAAGAGAATGAGGAAGAGGAGGAGGAGAAAAGGAGAAAGGAGAAAAGAAGAAGAAATCACTGTTAACATTTACATAGCATCTATTATATGCCAAGCACTTTACATATATTTCTCATGTGATCCTCCCAACAATCATGGGAGATGTATGCTTTTATCCCCATTTTACATTTGAGGAAACTGAGGCAGAGAGAGGTTAAGTGAATTGCTTGCGGTCACACAGCTAAAAAGTATCTGAGGCCATGTTTGAACTCAGGTCTTCCTGACTGTAGGCCTCGTGCTCTAGCCACTGTGCCACCCAGATGTCATGATAACTCACTTAAACTTCATAGGCATTAGGCAACTCTAGGATTCATATTCTAAGTCACACACACACTTATGATTGGCATTATCAGAGGAATTTCCCATATTGAGAGTTCTCCCATGTTGATAAAATTACAGACCCTTCATGTATTCCCTCATTCATAACTACTCACAATTATTTAGTGCATAGATATACAAACTAGCTCATTGAAGAAGACATCCAGAATTAAGTTAAACAATATAGCCATTTTCTTAAAGAAGGGAAAAGCTTTCGCTTTGAAATGGAGCAAAAGGTTAGTACCCAGTCTCTTCCATCATAGGCAAGCTATGGGTCTGCCTCATTATGGAGAAAACTCTACCCTGATCCTTTAAAGAACAATTTGAAAATCAAGGCAAAGAATGAAGGCAAAACTTTCTTTCTTCTATGGATGGCAATAAATTGGGTTTAGGGTAAAGAAGGGAGGTGCAGAGGACAGGGGAGGTGAGAAAAAGCCAGAAGTATTTATACCCAGGCAAGCCTGGAATGGGAAAACCAGGTTGAATGATTTTATTTGTTTCTTCAGGGTTCTTGTTGAATCAGGAGTGTGCATACACACTAACAAGGCAAGCTTATGGTGTAATGACCTCATTTTTGGCTACATGAACTACATAAATGTAAATAATACCAACTGCTATAGAGAAGTTGACAAAAATTCATGGGGAAAGTTTTCTAACAATATCATACAGATATTGAATGCAGTTTAAAAAGTCAACAGAAATTCTAAAAAAAGTTCAGGAATATTCCATAGGACACTTTGTGACCTATAACAGGTCACTCCACCTTTTATTTCTTTTACTTTTATTTCTTTTATTTTTAATTTATGAAATAAAACAAGAATTTCCATAACATAGTAGAATAAAAAAAAGATGATTGCACATGAAATGGCCAGTCTATTATGTATAATTTGCTATACCTTTTAAATATAAATAAAGTTATCATGTAACTTTCTTTTTTTTTCCTTTTTTTCATGTCTCTCCACACCCAACCCAGTCCATCTTTTAATGGCTACTTAAAGGACATAGGGCTTGGAAAGACTTTATTCCATTACTCAATGTAAGGTGAAGGATTTGGGTACAGAGATATGGGGTGTGTGTGTGTGTGTGTGAGAGAGAGAGAGAGACAGAGACAGAGAGAGAGACAGAGAAAGACAGACAAAGAGACGTATCAAAAAAGCAAGGTTAAGTAATGACTGGCAGTATGTTGAAGATTTACAAAGAAAAGAAGACAAAAAAGAAAGAAATTTCTAGAAAGAAAGTATTCATATCTTTCCATTATAAAAGCGTATGACAGATGAACAAACTGTAATATGCTCTTTTCCAATGACAATTTCCCTATATTTGTAGGAAATTTAAAACATAACACTAATGATTGAAAATTCAAAATAAATGCCTTAAACTCAACAATACCATAGAATTTATTTCAAACTCTTTAGAATAAACAAACCTGAATTTTCCCCTGCACTCCAGTACTATCCATTCGGCTGGCAACATTTACAGTGTTTCCCCAGATATCATATTGAGGTCTTCTCGCACCAATAACACCTGCCACTACTGGACCTACATTAATGCCTGGAAAAAAAAAAATTATTTTGATAACATTTCACGTAAATGTAGAACAAAATCGATCTTGTTCTAAATTATTTATTAATTTAAAATACTGTTAATGTTATTCTTGTTATGTTAACAAGCATTTGTTGGCTTATTACATTTATTCAACCTACTTCCTATAGTGAGAATTTTCATGATGTAACAAAAAGGGCCCTGAATTTGGAGTAGGAGTATATGAGTAGTAATCCTGGCTGTGCTGCTAATCACTACCTCTCTGACTTTGAACAAATCTCCTCGGTTTAAGTGAGATTGAACCAGGTTGGAGAGTTGGAGTTTTGATCTCTAAGATCCCTGAGATTACCGAATTCTATTAAATTAAGAACAATTAGACGTGTCCAAAAAGGGAAATGGGATGATAGGTAATTCCTTGTTACTGCAGGTATTTGAAATATTTGTCAGGAATTTTGTCGGGGAGGATATTGCACTATGCAGGGATTTGTACTAGATTACCGCTGAGGTATTTTTCAATTCAGGATTCCATTTCTTGTAGTCTCTCTCCACTATTTCAAAAGGCCAAAAACGGTTTTATGACTATAGTATGAATTAAGAATTACATGGTACTCTCACTTCTTTGGCTGCTACCATGTTTAGGAAAAAGAGACATGGCTAAACATACTTTATTTACTTTGGGATCATAGCTTACCAACACGGAGGACAAAGTCGTTGTAAGATTGGTAGTTGATTTCATCAAGGACATCGAACATCTCTATTGCAAAATCGGCTAGTGTGCTCAGATGTGAATAAATTGACTTCTTGGCCTAAGCACAAAACAATCATATTCTTACAATGGATCTTGATATGAGAAAAGTTAATTAGTCAACCATGTAGATATTTTGCTGGTCAGTTAGCAACTTATCTATGAATTACCAATGGGGTTCAGGATTTGTACCCTACAAAGATCTCGCGACAAATAAATGGTTAAGCATAGGGTACTCTGGATCATTGGGCAGCTCACGTGGTTCTCTGGACTAAATTAGATGCTCTCTGGACTTATTCACATCTACAGCTTACAATGGGATTTTATTTCATTTGTGTAGGTAAGGATTCGAAAAGAATCCTTTGTTATACTACATTTTTCACATTTGTTGTGAAGAAAACTCTTTATAAGCCTAAAAGTGCTATGTAAACGTTAATTGTTGTTGCTATTAGAGTAGTAGTATGATATATTGGAAAAAACACTGGATTTGGAGTCAGGAAAACTATGAGTCTTCATTCTTCCTTTGGACCATAGGTAAGTTACTTAACTACCCTGAAACTTAGTTTACTCATCGATAAAATGAGAATAATAATACCTCTTAGTTCTTGCCTTGCCTTACTGTTATGAGGATCAAATGAGATAGTAATACATACGAAATGTTTTGTAAATCTCAAGGCACAATATAAGTATCAGTTGTTATTATTCTTTTACTGGCTCTTTACGTATATATATATATTTTTTTCTTTTTTTCTTTTTTTTCCTCCAGTTTGGACTCATAGTGACAGTTAAAATAAATGTAGGAATGAGTTGAGTCTGTGGGATTCCAAATTGTCACAGAGATACAAACCCATAGTAGCTCTTCTAATTCCTTTGTAGATAGTAAAAACAAACAAAAACCCTATTGCCCCTTCCCAGTGAATGAGACTGAATTTTAGAAAACGTCACCTACCATCATGGAATGACCTTTACTGTTCTTTAGCTGATGACCTGAATCTATGATCTTGGCTTACAAAATAGATTTATTTTTGTTGTTCATTTAATCAAGTCAGCAAGGTAAGTTGTTTGAGTTTGGTGCTTGTGTGTTTGTGTGTGTGTGTGTGTGTGTGCGTATGCGTGCGTGCGAGTGCGTGCTTCAGTGTTAAGTGTTTATGTTCTTTCATAGGGCTAAATGCTTAAGTGTTTTTTGAAGTGGAAATTTAGAGTTGCAATAATATCATTTTTAAAAAATGTAACCTTATTTCAATTAAAATAAGAAACATTGTTATCCAGGATAGCCAAATCCTTAAAATGAAATTATTCTTTTACTGCAAATATTTCTTTTCTTTATTTCTATTAATACTTCGATCTAATCCTCTATGTTCTTTGAGTTTGGCTACAATCTGTGGGACTGTTAGGGGTGAGGCTATGTTGTCCTAGAGAAATATATTTTCTTTGTTGTGTCCCAATAATCTAGAGAATTCCATACATTCTCCTTTTGTTCCACTCATTTTATTTGACCGTCTCTCTATACCCACAGTCAACCCTCCCTGAGGAAATAATGTGGCATAATGAAAATGCGAATATGTTTGTCTACTAAGATGACCTGAATCCAAATGAATGTTTTGGGTTTGAACTTCAGATCTCCTTGAATCACCCCAGCTCTGCCACTTTGTACCTGTGTGAACTTGTATAAGTCATCACCATCATGATGCTTCAGGCACGGCTGGTCTTTGACCTGAACTATTGTTGTGATTGACACCACCTCTATGCACCTTTGTCTCTTTATATTTAAAATAAGAGGATGGACTTGATCTCTAAGGCCCCTTCCATTTCTAAATCCTATGATCTCTTCAGCTTTGCCATTGTAAGGTAAAGGCAGCAGTACAGATTTGTGATTGAGTGCTTTGGAGGGCCACCAACATATTCAGGAGACTTTGTAGGCAGAAAAACGGGCACCAGAATTACCCCTTGAGCCCACGTTTCACTAGGGAACATTCCAGTACTGTAGTCTCAACCTTATCCCTGAGAGCAGATATTCTCGTCTCTTCAAATTTTCTTCTGTCTGTTGCATGTATGTGTTGAGAGCTGGAATGTATGTTGTGTATAAGCTATAGCTTTAGGCAGGGAGTCAGGGATAAAAGTAAATAACACAAAACTTTTTTTGATCTCAGTCACAACAATAGTTCAGGTCAAAGACTGGCCATGCCTGAAGCATCATGATCACAATTTAATTCTGTCTTTCTTAAACCGAGGGAATTAAAAACCCAGCCAATCAGCTAAAGAAATCCAACCTCCAACTTACTATACGCCTGTATTGGTTTTCTGATTTTTGGAAGATATTTTGTATATTTTAAACTTGAAATTATTCAGACTCACTTTCATTCTTCATTTATATGAATGGATATTGCATACATCTATATAGGGTTTGAATCAGTGGTGTGAAAAATTTAGCAGTAGAAGAGAGCTGGACTGGCATTAGACAGGACCTGGGTTTCAATCCTCTTCCTCCCTCCTTCCCATGGGATGTTGGTCAGGTCATTTTATTTCTTTGAGCTTGAGTTTCATCATCAGCAAAATGGAGAAAACAATATCTTTAGTATGACCCTCACAGGCTTGTTTTTTATTTTCTTGGTTTTTTTTTTGTTTGTTTTTATTGGTGAGGCAATTGGGGTTAAGCAACTTGCCCGGGGTCACACAGCTAGTGAGTATCATGTGTCTGAGGCCAGATTTGAACTCAGGTCCTCCTGATTCCAGGGCCAGTGCTCTGTTCACTGTGCTATCTAGCTGCCCCTCCTCACAGGCTTGTTTTAAGGATCAAATGAAATAATATATGTAAAGTACTTTACAAACTGCAGGGTTCTATATAAATGCCAGTTTGAATTTATATAGATATGATTTGCATATGCATATGATTTGCAGAGCTTCTACCTTTTGGCTTGTAATGATTTTGTCAAAGTTTTGATACTTGTACTTTACTCTGTATCAAAACAATTCTTGGGAAATGTCTGCTGGTAAAGTATATTTTTTCCTTTCCACATCCCATTCAGGCAAATGGGTGGGGGGGAACTAGAGGGTATTCTGTTTTTTACTGATTACTAACATTAGTTTTTTAACTTTGGTTGCAGTTAAAGTAGAGGAATTGAGCTAGTTGGATGAATGCTGAATATATTAAAGAAATCAGATGGGTGGCCAAAGAACAGAACTTAGACTGTTGCAATCTACTTGTATTATGTAAACATACACTGAGTCCTCAGCACATCCTGACAAAACTTTCAAACAAGTGTTTTCAATTCTGGACTAACTCACCTGCACTCACTTGCCATTGCGAAATCAAAAGCACTCAAGTCAAACACACTCTAGTAACATCACTACAGTGATCTGATATTGTCCTTTTTTCAGGGTCACAGTTCAAAGGGTAATCAGTTTATTTGCCTGAAAGGATACTGATGCAAAACTCAAGGAATTTGAGGAAACAAATAACAATTCAAGTCTATCAAAGGAAAAATAATGGTTATTATTCATACAGTACCTAGCATTTAAAAAGCGATTTAAGATTTGCAAAGCACTTTACATATATGATCTCATTTGAGCCTTACAACAACCCTGAGGGGTAGATGCTATTATTACCCCCATTTTATTTATGAAGAAACTGAGGCTGAAAGAGGCTAAGTGACTTGCCCAGGGTCACAAAGTTATAGTCTGAAGTGGAATTTGAACTCAGGTCTTCTTGAGTTCAAGTCTAAACTCTGTCCACTGTACCAACTGTCTTCTAAGCCATTGGAAGGAGGGAAGGAAGGAAGGAAGAAAGGAAGGAAAGATAACCAAAATGGAATGATTTGTGATTCATCTGTGTTTTTGTACTATTTCCCTATTATAACATAGCATAACAAAAAAAGAGGGTAGGGAGAACCTTTTATCTAAGCCATATTATCCCCAGAACCTAGTGCCGGACTCTGTACCCAGTTGGTATTTAATGTATGTTAAAATGAATTGATATAAGGAACTATTGATTAGTCTGCTACATGTGACAAGATGATCACCATTTGGGAACACAAGCATATCCAGTCAAAGATCTAGGCCTTCAGGATACCTTGTGGGATCCAAAATGAGAGACCTGCATACATTGCTTGTTAGTAACTTGCATGCTTTCTGGGGCTTACCCTGGTCCCTGTGGTCGGCACCAATCCCACTGCAGCCATATACGTACTTCCAATTGTCTTGATCTTTTCTAGGTCCTTATAAAATTCTTTGTCCATGAGCTTTGTTTAAAACATAAAACTGTTAAATATTACATAACATTTTAGAAAAGATACCACAGTTATCAGTTCTTATGTGCAACAGTATAGCAGATTAAACACTATGAAAATCAAGTTTTAGTAGAAAGGTCTATCAGTCTATGAACCTATGAAGGCTTTAGGGGGATAAAAATGGGCTTGGGAGGTGAACTCAAAAATATGAACATAATGAATATGTTTCTTCTCAAACAGCTGACAGCATCACAGAGGTCTTTCAGAGATTTAGTATTGTAGTTGATATTATGTGTTATTATTGCTGATGTTGTTAGGAGAGGAGATGGAGAAGGGAAGGGTACACGTGTCTTCTCCCCATGTTTCTATGGCTATATTTTTAAAAAGTCTGGGACTAAAAGTGTGTGGATTCACGAAAAGTAAAGGAAAAATCAGGCTATTTCCTGATTCCAGTTTTGAAAAGTATATTATGGGAAAAAAAAGAGTGTTGAATTTGAAAAGGAATCTAAAATTAGAATCTGATGGCTTCTGGGATGGGAGTGATTGGGAAGTGAATACTGATTCTTAAAATTTGACAAGGGAAAACAGTAAAGAGGTTCCACAAAAAGAAGAAAACATTAACATTTCTCTCTCCTCCCCCATCATTAAAAAAATCATATCATTATGGAAATTTCCCTGTGTGCTTCCCACTCTTTCAAAAGTGACTGTTGGGATAAAGCTAAGCAAAGTTCATAAGGTAGTCACAATTTAATTGACAACAGAGAGAGAAAACTAGTTAGGCATTAAGGGAATGGTTAGGAAAGGATCTAGGAGAAAGAAAGGCTCCTGAAATGACAGATTCAGAACTGGAAGGAACCTTACAGGTCATTTCATATAACCCTATTATTTTATAGATGAGAAAACTAAGGCCCAGTGGGATAAGATTTCCTGCTTGAAGTTATGCAATTAAATAGCATAGCTCAGTTTTGAACTCAGGTCTTCTGACTCTAAATTCAGCACTTTTTCATGGCACCACAATAAGAGAGATAGAATAACCTCAGCTCGATCAAATGCAGGTTGGTTAGTACTGCCAAAATTAAATTCATCGTAAGGAAGCACCATTTGTGATACTAAAAGTCTGAGAAAAGGCACTATCCTCACCGCTCAGAGAGTATGGTGTGGTGGAAAGGCTCAAGGGCTTATAAACTAGCTCTCCTGCTTACTATGTCTTTTACCTCAGAAAAATCACCTCCCATCTCTAAGTTCAGTTTTCTCATCTTTAAAATGAAGAATTTGGACTACATGAGCCCCTCTCTTCTGGTTCTAGTTCCTGTATCCGAATGAATTAGAAAAAACTAGACCATTTCGAAGAGGAGTGTTTCGTTCACAAAGAAAGACTTCTTTTTGAGACTAATACGCTGGCTGACTAGGTAACTACTTAACCCTGCATTTCCTCCCCATGCTTTTGAGTTTTCTTTCCAATTTCATCAATCAAAACCTGGGTATGTGGTTGGATTAAATGCAGGATTTAACATGGAGCTACACAGTCAATTGAGAAAGTGATTCAGCACATTACTACGGACATCTAGACCCCCTAACAAAACTTATTCCATGGAATCAGTAATAACTAAATAATTGAAAATGGAGACATTACCTCATCAAAATCAGCAATAATTTCATTTAAGAGGCGCAAACACTCCACTCCCATGTTATTGCCATCCAGTTCGATGTAGAAGTCATTGAAATTTGGGATGGAAGCAAACATCACGCCCACTTGTGAATAGGACTGGTAATAAAGGTCCTGTAATTTTAGAATCATGATTTGGCTTACATCACAAACAAGTGGGCATCACAATAAGCAGCTTGTTATTATTGGGGAGATGATGAGGACACAAAGGCATGGCTTCTATAAGGATGGCTGTACCATTGTGTGTGCATGTATATTATGTGTGTGTGTTTATGTATATGGCCGTGCTGTTGGATTTAGTACTAGCATGTAAAAATACACAAAGCTCCAACAATTGAAATGCGAAATCAGGACTTAATAGGCACCTTTTTGTTCCAACTTGTCAATCTAGTAGTCTCTTAAAATAATCACAGTATTGATTCAGAAACACTTAACTTCTAAAATGATATGTTTCTTTGGCTCACTTCCTTTATTACCCCTGTATTGCCTTCTATCATTTACCCCCTTGTCAGAGCACTGGAAGTAGACCACTCAAATTTAAAGGTCCTGATCAAATTGCCCTTCCATGGCCAGCATTAGTCATGGGAAAGTAAGAAATGGTGTAATTTAGCAAATATCTAAGGTATAGTGAGAAGTGAATGTGTGTTTGCTGAATGAATCCTTTGTTTCCTTGGGGGTTCCGCTCAGGTGTAACCTCCTACAGGAAGCCTTTCTGGATGTTTCCGGGTGTAACTGTTCTCGCCTTCATGTTGCCCTCTTTTTATCCAAATAAATGGGGTATACTCCCATGAAGTCTGTAAGCTCTCGGAGGGCAGGGGCTGTTCTTTTGCTTTTGCCCTTGTATTCCTACCACTTAGCACAACACTTTACTCATAGCAGGTGCTTTATAAAAATACGCTTTCTTGCATTGTATTTAACATCTGTAAATAAACATACATCATTGGAAGTATGTAATATACATAAAAACTTGTTATAAAAATTAAACAATTCCATAGCTAGATTTTTTAAAGGCAGAAACCCCATGTTAGAGAGAAAGCAATGCAACATTTTAAAGTTTTTTTTCCCAAAATTTATTTTTAAATCTATGATTTTTTTTTGGAGGGAATCAGGGTTAAGTGACTCACACAACTACGTGTCTGAGGCCAGATTTGAACTGAGGTCCTCCTGATGCCAGGGTTGGTGCTCTATCCACTGTACCACCTAGCTGCCTCTAAATCTGTGATTTCTAAAAAAACAAATTCTGTCTTTTAATAGATTTATGTGTCTGTCTTAATCAATGCTAATTTCCCATCCCCAAACCACAAATGAGGAGATGATCAGGGTTGTTGTAAGGGTCAAATGTGAAGGAGACTTGTAAAATGCATGAATCCATTAAAACATAAGCTGCATGGACCTATGTTGCCTGGATCATCTGCATTATAATTTTTTGATAGATATCCAACCAAGTTCTCATTTCTTACCATGTTCCTGGGATTGGACATGAGAAAGTGTTGTGCAACATGGGCTGGCAAAAGGTTGAAGAGAATCCTCTTGTTGTCCAGTTTAACTCTCTCCATATCATCTCGCTCCTCTTCTGCCTGCGTTAGGGAAAACATTGTGATATTTCTCATTTTTGTGCATTCAATGCATTTTTTTTCAGGCCCAGTATTTCTGAATAGTGTATCAACATTCAGCAACTATTGGCAGAATGACTGTGCCAATTAACACAAATTCTTGGGCAAATTTTGTGCTTGTTTATACTAAACAGTAGAAAAAGGGCTTGAACGAGAGTTTGAACACCTACCATTAAATCTTTTCACCTTGGGCAAGTTACTTACTCTATGCCTTAGTCATTTCATCTGTAAAATGTGGATAACAATACTTGACAACTTCCTGCACAGGGATGTTGTAACGAAAGTGTTTTGTTTTGATTTGGTTTTATTGTCCCCCTCCTTAAAGTTTTGGGTGCTATAGAAAGGTGACTTGATTACCATCTATTCTTATTATACAGCTATGTCTTATGTAAAAATGTGAAAATTTTAAAACACAGAAGTTACTTGAAAAAGAAGCATCTTTTAAAATAAGTGTATCCCCTTATTTTTTAAATGTCAGCTTACAGATCATTAACTAGAGAGGCTAGAGGACTGATGGTGCTAATGGATAAGGTACCATTTATCAACCATCACTGAAAAATAAAGATGAATGCCATGTTTAGAAAAATGTAGTTGGGTTTCTGAATATTTACATAAATCTTTTCGGGGACATGTTTATTACACAAAATGAGTAAAACTCATTACTTTATCAAGTAGTGCAAGGGAAAGCTAGATGGATTCAGAGTCACTGGGCCCTCACTCAAATACCAGCTTTATCACTTTCTTCACATCTTTGGCCAAGTCACATAAATCCCCTGAGCCTCAGTTTACTCTTCTATAAGATAGTAAAACTTATAATGACATGAATCTCTCATAAGACTGATTAAAAAATGCCATGGATTTCTAATTACTATATATACATATATTATTATTATTATTACTACTAGTAGTAATATTAGTAATGGTTATTTTAAAAATATATCAAGTTGTTATTACTGACCTACAAATGCCAAAAACAATTGGATGAAAAGTTCACTTTGTTAGACACATTAGCTGTTAGAACAAGCTGGCTTGGTTTAGGGAATATACTGAGAAATGTAAAAATATGCAAGCAAAAATTCCTAGAAGGCCTCCAGCAAACTGAGTAGCTCCTTTGTGAATAATCTATGGGAGTTCATGAATAATAATCACATGTCATGGCAAGTCAAGAATAGGTTGCGACTGGCACTAATGGAGAGCACAACCATATCAATGGGATCAGATATCCACTGGCGTACTATAACCTATACCATGCAGGAATTATGCTTGGCACTTCATCTATATAAGGTACACAATAATTTTTGGATTCTTATTAGGGTTCCAATATGCTGACATTAAGAATCTGCATTTAGCACACACAATGCTATATGTATATATTAAATACTGCATGTGAAAAAAATTAATTTACCAGTGAAGTATGAACTCCAAATTATACGATATATTCTAAGGTAGCTTTCACTAAAATCTTTCCCCAATGTCTCATATGAGGGTAAAAATGATCGTGATTCCTTAAAATCTATGATAATGAAAAACAATCTCCTAATGGCAAATTAGTGATGTTTGATTTATCTATCTATCACCTAAGGACCAGTTCAGCTAAATGTGGAGCAGTTCACTATCAGCTTGACCACAGGGTGATGCATTTTTTACCTACCACAACTCTTGCAGACTATCTACCAAACTACAGACAGGTCAGGATCTGCATTGGTTGGGGAAGTAACCTGGAAAGTGTCCAGAGGAAGGCAGGAAGAATTGTGAAGGGTCTTTAATCCATTTCATATTAGGACTGTGTGAACTGGAGACCTTTAGCCAAGTGAAGATAAGACTTAGTAGGGGAAATAATATCTGTCTTCAAGCATTTGAGGGGATGTCAGGTAGAAAAAGGATTAGCCACAGCTTCAGAGACAAATTAAGACTTTACATAAGGGGAAAACTCCTCTGTTGTGAATAACATTCAAAAGTATGGTGGTTGCTTTGACAGAAAATGAGTTACCCTTCCCCAGATGTCTTGAAGCAAAGTATGGACGACTACTTATCAGATGGGTTATAGAAGAGATTTTTCTCCCTTATGGGCTGGACTGGATGGCCACATCCCTTTCAACTCTGAAATTTTGTGATTCTGTGATTCTGAGTACCCATGCCAATAAAACCATAGATCTTTGAAGCACCAAAGAGATTAAATAAAGTATGGCTTGATTATGTTCCCATTAGGATAGAAGAATTTTGTTTTCATTCAGTCACAGTGAATGAGTCATGACATTGTAGACATTAACTGGCCTTTCTCTAGCATTGACATAAAGTGCCCAAGCTTTCCTGATATTAAAACACTGCAACATCTTACTCTTTTAGAAATTATAGCTATCCTCAACATTCAAAATGTAAACCTCAAATGAAATCCCCTTTTTTTGTCCCATCTGTAGTTCCATTGTAGTACTTTTTAAAAAATCAAAACCTCAGGTTTCACTGGACGTATTTGTTAAAAATCAGTGACACGGCACATATCTCAAACTCATAATGGTAAGGGATGCCTCACTCGTTAGTGGGAATGACTATACTTCAACAGATCTTAATAAAATGTCATCAAGCCAATAGAACGTTTCTTATCTAATCAACTGTATACGACTGAGGTCAGTGCCAGTGCCAGAAAACAGACTACTTTCAATGAAAACTATCATTCTAAATGAACTTATATCATTACCAACATCTTTACCTATGCTTAAAAAAAGAAAGAAAAAATATGGCTTCAGGCAGTTCTGTGCCAAATATAATGAAAGACTGAATAAGAAAGACATGGAACATCTGGCAGAAAAATTGCCGTGAAGTCCTCTTCAGTACTTAAAAACAATGTAATCAGGCAACTTATTTAACTGTAATATTGATTCTTGGCAAAAATTTTTTGAAAAAGAAAGAAAATACATTGAGGGGAATTCTGCTTTCTTTAGAGAGGGTAACTATATGTCTTATTGTCATTACTATCAGGAAGAAAGGAAGGAATCTGCTACAATTTTGAAATGTGTCCTGTGTGCATTGAAATGGTATGCCTTTCAATATGCACTCAGTGATATGAGCCAGCTCTAATTCTCTGTCTTCCTACATTTTCTCCACTGGACTGTATGTACCTGGCGAAGGTTACCTTGGTGACATACAATACATATGTTTCTAAATATAACACTCTTTTTCTAGTTTCAAAGGCTATAGCTTGCTCTAGCTGTCACAATTCCCAATGCTTCAGTGTCACCTGATATTTTTCTGCTGAAATTACATGTCAGAATAGTCTATACACTCAAAAAAGTATATAATTGGCTGGAGGGGTCCAATTATATAAGCAAGATACAGAAATGATGATTCCTTTCCCTGCTCCCTTTCTCCCAATCACAGAATTATGGGACCTCAGTTTCTTATCTGCAAAATGAGGTTGTTGGACTAGATGACCCTAAGAGACCATAAGTTTCTTTGTTGCTTTAAATCTACAAAAGTCATCATCCCAAGATTTAATTGCTTAAGAAAAAACATATAGTTTTTATTTATGATATTTCTGTGATAGACGATTGCTACATGCCAGGAGCAGTTCATAAAGTTTTGGTTCCATATAGCAGCAAAAATATTTTTTTTTTCTTTCCTAGGAAATAGCCCTTGTTTCAGAATCACATAGAGGCTAATATTTTGGAAGTATGCAAGCCATTAAATATTCATTATCCTTTGACTCAGAGATTTCATTTTAAAACATAGCCCAAGGTGATCAATGACAAAATGAGAGGCTCCACATACACCAAAATATTTGGACTACTTTTTGTGGTGGCAAAGAACTGGAAATAAAATTGATGTCCTTCCTGGGGAATGACTAACCAAAGCGTGGCACATAAACATAATGGAATATTATTGTGCTATAAGAATATGATGAATACAGAAAAGTGTGGAAAAATATACATACACTGATGCAAAGAGAAGTAAATAGAGCCAGAAAGTGCAATGCACAATGACTACAATTCTGTAAATGGCAAGAACAACAAATGCAAAACAATTTTTAAAAATTAATGTTGCAAAACAATAAGGGTTATGTTTGATCCCCAAAAAGAGAAATAAGAAGACATGGGTTGCCCCTCTCTCCACCTCTTCCCCATTTCCTTTGTAGAAATAGGTTTGGTGGATGTAGAACATTACATAGAATGTCATTTAAAAAAATTGATTGGTTTTCCTGATTTTCTTTTTGGTCTTGTCTTCTTTAAAAAAAAAATATGAGTTGGTCTTTTGAGAGGAGAGAGGGAAGAGATATGGGAGAAAATAAGGGCTATGTTAAAAAAAAACAAAAGATACCAATAAAATATCTTCAAAAATAATGTTACTGATCATTCAAGGGGACAGTAATAATATAGAAAAGCCAGTTGTGTTTTAGTGGAAAGTGCTAGACTTGGACCTAAAAGATAAGACTTTCTTTCAGATCCAACCCTGTCATTTTCTGCCAGTGTTATTACAGACAAATAACATAACATTTCTAAGCATCAGTTTCTTCATCTGTAAAATACGAACATTATTTTACACCATTAGGTTGATTCTGATCAAAAGCAAAGAGTATACCAAGTGATTTATAACTACAAAACCCTAAATAAATGTCCATCATCATCATTAGCATCAGCACCATTGCTGGCATTTTAAATTGTTTAAACAGAACTTGGGCTGGGTTGTTTCTATCACTTACCCTTCCTGATTCCTAGGCTAATGCTCTTACCATGACACCATGCAAGAAGAACTGCAAATTTATTACATCTCTGACTCTACTTCCTGCCCCCACAAAAGGTAAATGCTGCTAAAAAAATGATTGCTATTAAAATTTACCAGTGCCTAGTCACAGATAGAATGCCTCTTTTTCTGTCTTCCTTTTGTTTAAGGGCATGCATTTTAAAAAAAATTTTATTTTTTTAAAAAATGAAATAAAACAAGCATTTCCATAACATAGTAGAATAATAAAA